ACTCAAATCAAGAAATATTTTACCATTCAACTATTTACTTTATGTAGAATCAGTACTGAAAGTATTGTCGAAGGGTTCATGTGCACTTTAAGATGAGTAATTTGGGCTTGCAACTCCTTCAAGAAAATTAAAGTTATAGTAATCCTCGCTGTTTTCGACGACAGCTATAAACTGTGGTGCCCTGTCTGTGCCTATGAATGGATCCCAGTTTGGAAGTAGTACCGTGTTCCCCAACAGTATAACATTCAAGTGCGACAAAGGATTTGATTTGATTGGATCGTCTGTGCGTAACTGTTTGTCAACTGGCAAATGGGACGGCAACAGCACTACCTGCAGAGGTAAGTAAAGCAGTATGTGTAACCAACGAACTAGGTTATTCTTAATTTCATTGTGAGTTGACTAAATTTGCTTGGGAAATATTTTCAGCGGTTGACTGCGGTGCTCTGGCAGTTCCACAAAATGGATCCAAACACGGAAGCTTGACAGTGTTTCCCAATACGATCAAGTTCAACTGTGACGAAGGGTTTCTTCTTCGTGGTTCATCGTCACGTGTCTGCCAGGCCAACAGGACATGGAGTGGTATCCTTACACGATGTGAAGGTGAACACATTTAATATAAGTAAATGTAGCACTCATTTGAAGCGATTCATCTAACCTTATGCTCTGTTGCTATTAGCTATCAACTGTGGTCCTCTTATCACGCCCATCAATGGATCAGTTATAGGAAACGAAACAGTGTTCACTAACAGTCTTAAATTCAGCTGTGATCAAGGTTTTGACATTCTTGGATCTTCTAGACGAACCTGTCTGTCCAATGGAACCTGGAGTGGAACAATTGCAACATGTAAAGGTGAGAAAATACAATGCCTGGGTTTAGAAGATATCCACAATAGCACATCAATCAATCGGCTTTTTTAAATTCTTGTAATTTTTCGTAGCTGTTGACTGTGGTCCTCTTGCTGTCCCACAAAATGGTTCCAAACATGGACGCTTGACAGTGTTTCCCAATACGATCACCTTCAGCTGTAACGAAGGGTTTCTTCTTCGTGGTTCATCGTCACGTATCTGCCAGGCCAACAGGACATGGAGTGGTATCCTTACACGATGTGAAGGTAAACTGATGTATAATTTGTGATGTATGATAGGTTATTTTTGATAGTATTTATTCAGCATATCTTTTTTTCATATTTATTTATAGCAATAGATTGTGGCTTTATTCCTGCTCCATTGAACGGATCCATATTTGGCAACCACACTATCTTCCCAAACAGCAGAACGTTTCACTGTGACGAAGGATTCGATTTGATTGGCTCATCTTTAAGAACCTGTTTATCGAACGGAAATTGGAGTGGCACTCAACCTTCATGTAGAGGTACAAATATACCTTTCTCGCATTTCCTTGAGTGACCACGAAACAATGGCTTCGACTTGGAGACATTGTTTCGGAAAAACGTCTATTGTCTTTTGAATACTGATCATTGCATAACAGTAAACTCCATTAGTATCTAGTAACAATAACTGAGGTATTTCATTTTTCCTATCCAACAGCGGTTGATTGTGGTCCTCTTGCTGTCCCACAAAATGGATCCAAACACGGAAACTTGACATTGTTCCCCAATACGATCGCCTTCAAATGTTACGAAGGGTTTCTTCTTCGTGGTTCATCATCACGTGTCTGCCAGGCCAACAGGACATGGAGTGGAAGCTTGACGCGTTGCGAAGGTTAGTGTAATCAACGACAAGGTAAGCAGTTTCTCTTCCATTTGGCCAACTTGCATTCAATAAATGGATGGATAGATGGATGGATGGATGGGATCGATGGAAGGATGGATGGAAAAAAGAGTTAATGAAAGTTATAATATCATAATTATTCAGTAGTACGATTCCAAGTTCTGTGAGAGACAATAAAAAATAACATCATTCTGGGTGCTTCTCTTTTCGTATAGCCGTAGATTGTGGTTCCCTTTTTGCTCCAATGAACGGATCCTTCTATGGAAACAAAACGTTCTTCCCTAACAGCATAAAATTCGAATGTGATGCCGGATTTGACCTCCTCGGATCATCAGAGAGGACCTGCCTTTCAAGTGGACAATGGAGTGGAAACATGACATCATGCAAAGGTAAGCACTTGAAATAACTGATTCTGAAAGTACACCAGAACTTCCTTTCTTTGTTATTTCAAACGAAGTTTGTCTGTGGGCGCTGTAAATTTAAAATTGTATGGGCTTGTTCACAGCTGTTGACTGTGGTCTTCTTGCTGCCCCACAAAATGGATCCAAACGTGGAAGCTTGACAGTGTTTCCCAATACGATCACCTTCAGCTGTGACGAAGGGTTTCTCCTTCGTGGTTCATCGTCACGTGTCTGCCAGGTCAACAGAACATGGAGTGGAATCCTTACTCGATGTGAGGGTAAGTTCAATGAAGTTGAATGTTGCCTAATGGCGAACGCCTTGCGATGTTTTCCACTTTATCGCCTTTCCCTGAAGCTCTTTCCTTTTTCGAATCACAAAAGTCTAAATAGTACGAAGAGCTCATCCATTGGTTTCTTTTTCAGCTGTGGACTGTGGATCGCTTACTGTGCCTGTTAACGGCTCAATGACTGGAAATATAACAACCTTTCCTAACAACCTAAGGTTTTGCTGTGACGAGGGTTTTGACCTTCTTGGGTCATCTGTGAGGACTTGCTTGTCAATTGGAAAGTGGAGTGGCAACATGACAACATGTAAAGGTAGAATGTTAACCCATTATTCAATACGGAAGAACTGATCGATCATTTGGATATATGTTTTATCAAATACTTGTTTTTAACAGCTGTTGACTGCGGTCATCTTGCTGTACCGCAAAATGGATCTAAACACGGAAGCTTGACAGTTTTTCCCAATACGATCGGCTTCAGCTGTGACGAAGGGTTTCTTCTTCGTGGTTCATCGTCACGTGTCTGCCAGGCCAACAGGACATGGAGTGGTATCCTTACACGATGTGAAGGTATGTATTTTTTAGTCACCTAGACCATTAATGGAGAGAAATAAACCGTTGACTTAGCAAGAATGTTTGCTGTTTTTACATTCATTTGGGCGTTTAGAAAGTTTCATATATTTTGTCTTCTATGAAATAGCAATCGATTGTGGTCCTCTTGCTGTACCCATGAATGGAACAATGCAAGGAACAAAGACTGTATTTCCCAACATTCTTACATTCAGTTGCGATGAAGGCTTTGATCTCCTGGGGTCATCCAAACGGACATGTTTGTCAAATGGAAACTGGAGTGGTACTCAACCAACATGTCAAGGTATCTTTTGTCTATGCTTGTAAACAAACTTTAAGTTATCGGAAATAATGTTTCCTTTATTTGTTTGCAGCTGTTGACTGTGGTCCTCTTGCTGTCCCACAAAATGGATCCAAACTCGGAAGCTTGACAGTGTTCCCCAGTAGGATTAAATTCAACTGTGACGAAGGGTTTCTTCTTCGTGGTTCATCGTCACGTGTCTGCCAGGCCAACAGGACATGGAGTGGAATCCCTACACAATGTGAAGGTAGGTTTACTTAAGTGACCTTGCAACCTTCGTATGGTGGGATTGATTGATGAAAGGGTAAAGGGATTTTACTAGCTTATTTATATCGCGAGTTACAATAAAACTAATCTGTATTGATGTGGGTTATTATAGCCATAGACTGTGGTCCTTTATCTGTTCCCATGAATGGATCCCTGCTCGGCAACAAAACATTCTATCCGAACATCATAACATTCGTATGTGATGAAGGATTCGATATCATCGGATCTACTGAACGAAAGTGTTTATCAAATGGAAAATGGAGTGGTTCAATAACATCTTGTAAAGGTACGATAAGGTTTCTATCGCTTACTCTAATTTTAAATGATAATATTCAGATAATTATTCAGATAATATTCAAGACGAGAAACTGGTATTCTTACTGCGCATGGTTGACTAGCTAACAAAGTTCTCCAAGGGAGATAGAGCGTACCTTAATATACAGTTTTTTACTAGCAGTTACCAAGTTATACTTACATTTATACGGATGTAACTACTTTCTACAGCTGTAGATTGTGGACGTCTTGCTACACCTCTCAATGGATCTGTGTTTGGCTCATCTACCGTCTTTCCAAATAAGGTCTCATTCCAATGCAATGAAGGGTTCCTTCTAAGAGGACCTTCAGTTCGAGTTTGCCAGTCAAATAGAACCTGGAGCGGAGAAGAGACTAAATGTCAAGGTAGAGATTCCTAAGGATAAACAATCAGAAAAGAAAAATAAAGCAGTGACATGACATGATAAAAGATGTATGAGCTTTTGCAACACGACTTTACATGACCTGACGTGAGATAACATGACATGTTTTGACATGCGTGACATGACCTGACAGGACATGACATGACACGACACGACATGACACGACATGACACAACATGACCTGACGTGAGATGATATGACATGATTTGACATGCGTGACATGACCTGACACGGCATGGCATGGCACAACACGACATGACACGACATGACACAACATGACCTGACGCGAGATGACATGATTTGACTTGCGTGACATGATCTGACTTCAAGCGACATGACATGACATGACACCACGTGACATGACGTGACACGACATGACACGACACAACATGACCTGACGTGAGATAACATGACATGATTTGACATGCGTGACATAACCTGACATGACATGACATGACACCACGTGACGTGACGTGACGTGACATAGCACGACACCACATAACAAAACACATCCTGACATAACACGACACATAACATGACCTGATAACAGAAAATGCGATGCGACAGAAGCACAACTCCAAACGAAAAGACATGACTTCCTAATGAGATGTCACTCAATACGACCTGAACTGAGGGAACATGACTAAGCACGTTACAAGGCAAAAATACACGACACGGCACAAGCGCGGCACCGATGCAACAAAACGACACAGAAACTTTGATGTGAGATAATCAAACTATGTTGTATTTTTAGCAATAGATTGTGGTTCCCTCGATGTGCCTACCAATGGGTCCCTCCTTGGCGACCTTACAGTTTTTCCAAACAAGATTAGATTCACATGTGATGAGGGATTTGACCTCCTGGGATCTCCAATGAGAACCTGCCTGTCAAACGGGACATGGAGTGGCTCTAGAGTATCATGCAAAGGTATTTTCGAAATTGCATTCCTCAATTATTACCACAAACAGACCTACAATATAGCGTAGCCGGTCAGAATTGTGAGAATCAAGGGTGGTGGTACAATAGTATGATTGCACTTGCCTCTCACCTCTGGGGTCTCAAGTTAGGCTCCCATTCTCGGCATCACATGTGAGTAGTGTTTGTCCGGTCTCTCCCGTGACTTGAGGGGCGGGGGCTTATGGGGGTTGATTGTTCCAATTCTACTTTGATCTGTGAGTTGGCCATGCCCTGACTGTGATCAGCCCAGAGGTTGTTTCAGGGTTTGATCTGTGAGTTAGCCATGCCCTGACTTAGATTAGCCCAGAGGTTGTTTCAGGGTTCAATCTGTGAGTTAGCCGTGCCCTGACTTTGATCATCCCAGGGGTTGTTTCAGGGTTCGATCTGTGAGTTAGCCATGCCCTGACTTTGATCATCCCAGGGGTTGTTTCAGGGTTTGATCTGTGAGTTGGCCATGCCCTGACTTTGATCAGTCAGAGGTTGTTTCAGGGTTCGATCTGTGAGTTAGCCATGCCCTGACTTTGATCAGTCAGAGGTTGTTTCAGGNGCCATGCCCTGACTTTGATCAGTCAGAGGTTGTTTCAGGGTTCGATCTGTGAGTTAGCCATGCCCTGACTTTGATCAGTCAGAGGTTGTTTCAGGGTTCGATCTGTGAGTTAGCCATGCCCTGACTTTGATCAGTCAGGGGTTGTTTCAGGGTTAGGCAAGAGTTAAACATGCCCTGAATCTCCCTGTCTTTGATCAGCCTAGAGAAGGCTTGAGGGGTGGATAATATTAAGGTTCAAACAACACATAGTGATACACACATGATTGCATGATTGTTGGTCATTTATTTTTATCTATTTACTTTATTCGCAGCTGTTGATTGTGGCTCTCTTGCTGTACCAATGAATGGATCTTCATCTGGATCTCTAACGACTTACCCCAACAAATTCGTGTTCACGTGCGATAAGGGCTTTATTCTGATTGGTTCGTCAGTGCGCACGTGCCTTAGCAACAGAACGTGGAGTGGACCAATGACGCGCTGTCAAGGTAAAGTTCTGAAATTATTTTAAAAAAGACGACGAGTTTGGAAAAAAACTTTGATAAAAATCTTATAGCCAATTGCCAAACATGACTCTTTACGCGCAAAACCTGAAAAGTTAAAGTATGAAGTTCCAACTTTTCTTTTTGATATTTCCAGCTGTTGATTGCGGTCCTCTTGCTGTCCCTATAAATGGCACATCCAAGGGTTCCTTAACATTCTACCCAAACGTTAAAACCTTTCACTGCGATAGAGGGTTCATCTTAAGTGGATCGTCTACCAGACAATGTCAAGCCAGTGGAACATGGAGTGGCGACAAAGCAGTCTGTACAGGTAAGCTGATTGTATAACTTTTCTCTCAAATTGCAAAGCCATGCATTCAGGAACGTCATTTTCCTCTTCTGAGCTTCCATTTCATTAAATACTTATTCTTTTAAACGTTTGATAATGTCAATTCCACTAAATAGTTTTTGAAAATTTATGTCAAATTTTATAGCTCAAAACTAACTTTCCTAAAAGATTGTTCTTTAAGACGAATTGAAAATGTTCTAGATACGTTCAGAAAATTCTTCTTAATCATCAAATACTTCACTCGTTGAAACAACAAACCCAGTGACGAAAGTCGCAACGCGTGTGCGCGTTTTCGTGGGGATTTACTCCCGCCAATTTCAGCGAGACTCCATCAATGTAAGCCATATAAACACTTTATTCGCAATTCGTTTAACATCCTTTTCATTCACTGCTATGAATGATATGAGGATTGGTCGTCGCTTCCTTCCTWCGTTACACCACTTATCAGACCTTGTTCGTACCTTGTTCGTATATCGATTCAACGCTTAAGCCAGTCTTGCTCTATGCACCTCAGAACTTCGGTCCAACTAATTGTAGCTTAACTAGGGCTAATTTTCTACTTAAAGTCATTAATTGTGGCTCCCTTCTTGAACCAAGAAATGGTTTCGCCTGTGGAGAAAGAACAGTTTTCCCTCACTCCATTAAATTCCATTGTGATTCGGGGTTCGTGCTGATCGGCTCGCCCGTGCGACGATGTCAAGCAAATGGTGTTTGGAGTGGGACAACCACTTACTGCCGAGGTACATAGCATTATATAGGAACTATTCTCTGCGGTACAAAATGTCTGCGTCTTTCTTTATTCATCCTACAAAACGTTCACCAAAAGTAAGAATAAAAGCTAGTAACAAAAATAACAATAAATTAGCTAACAAACAGACTGAGTTTCACGTCAGCAGCCATTCTGGTAGGGCAAAAACAATGTAATATTTTTGCAAGACAATTGAAGAGATTTCATTTCCCAAAGTCACAAATTTTCATTCCTCTACTCTACAACATTGGAGCCGTGCAACTCCTCAATTTGTAAGGAAATGACTGGATTTATTTTGGTTTTTTTTAGCTGTTGACTGTGGTGCTCTAGAAGCCCCTATGAACGGGACAAAGAAAGGAAGTCAAACTGTATTCCCGAATGTTGTTCAGTTTGGTTGTGACAAGGGTTTCATACTTCAAGGTTCAAGTGATAGAATTTGTCAAGCGAATGGAACATGGAGCGGAGACCCTGCAAGATGTAACGGTAAGTTTTAGGCTTATAAAAATGAAAATAAAAGCTTTATTAGAAATTTGCTGAACTATAGACTATAGCATATGTACATAATGGATTGCTATCTTTTTGGTACGATTTTCTGTCCTTTTCCTTAAGGTTTCCCAGTTATAATACGACCAATAGCATGATAGGAGAGGATATGAGAGGATAGGGAAAACTTCCCAGTCTTTTTTATCGGAAAACGTTTAATCTCTAGCCTTCCGTCTATGCAGTTTTTCGAAGGATAGAGTAATGTTTTTCACTCATGTGCAATGCAAACCGGCGTTTGCTGATTGGTCATCAAAGTCACGTGACTTTGAGATACAAATACCCTATGTCATCAGTTCTTATTTATGGTCATGGTATTTTCAGCGGTAGATTGTGGTTTTCTGGCTGTTCCCATGAATGGATCCCTTCAAGGCCAACTAACTGTGTTCCCGAACAAGATCAAGTTCAGCTGTGACGTAGGCTTCGACCTGATTGGCTCATCTGTGAGAAGCTGTCAATCAAATGGATTATGGAGTGGTTCAGTCACAACATGCCAAGGTATTCGAGTATTGTGATTGCAAGATATCGATTTTGTTGGTTGTGATTGGTCAAAACACCAACCATTCGATAGTCATCGGTTAATTATTAATCTTAATTGTGACTGGGGGATATATTTTTCGAGCGTTCTGATTGGTTTATAAAGGAAGCCATTTCAGAGCTACATCCGGGTTACCTTAAGTTTCCCGCCTTTCTCAAAAACATTAGCATTTCTTTTTCAATATTTCAGCCGTCGACTGTGGTCCTCTAAATGTACCCAGGGATGGAAAAGTAGCAGTTTCAGGTACTACGTACACCCAGAGAGCTGTATTCACGTGCTACGATGGATTTATCCTGATAGGGAATTCTGTACGAGTATGTCAAGTCAACAGAACGTGGAGTGGAAAACAGCCTCATTGTAATGGTGAGTATTGAAATTCTTTATCTAACGGCAGCGAAAACAACGCTAGCAATAACTAAATCAGAAACAGCGGCAACAACAGCAGTATCAACAACAGCAGCAACAGTAGCAGCAACAGTAGCAGCAACAATAGCAGCAGCAGCAGCAACAACAACCATAATACCTATATATTTGATATATTTGATATATTTTCAGCGGTTGACTGCGGTAAACTAAGACCGCCTACGAACGGTGCCATGAGAGGTCAGCTGACTGTCTTTCCAAATAAGGTCACCTTTACCTGCAAAGTTGGCTTCGATCTGGTTGGTTCTCCTGAGGTGAAGTGCCTTGCGAGTGGGCTTTGGAGTAACAGCACTCCAACATGTAAAGGTAAATGATCAATAGATTAAGCGGCTTAAAAACGTAGCTCGTATTTGCGTACGCTTTTTCATCGTTTCCTAACGAATATATACAAAGATACAGTTTTCGATAAGTGCGCACTGCATTTTCTCGTATAATAATCACAACCATGTTTTTAAAGTTCCTGTGTTGAATGACGAAAATCATGGTGTACAATAGTATAAACCACATAATCATTAAATATTCATTGTTTATACAGCTATGCGGTGTAACCCGCCTGTGATACCTCCCAATTCCTACCTCACGACAAGTCATCAGCTGTACTTTGATAACG